ACTCGCTTCCTGATTTGTTGATTTCTTGAGTCTCCTGCTAACCCCTGAAATCCCCAAGACTCAATAACTGTGAGAAAGCCTGTGTGCACTGGAAAAGGACCAAAGTGTCATCCCCTTCAAAAATCCTTACTTAGCACAGCAGTGACTTAGTGACTTGGAGCAAAGCTGATTTTGTAGCCGATATTGTGTCTTTTGGGAAACTTTAAGCCTGACTAGGGGAATAAAAGACTTTCTACTTGTAATTAAGAGTGCAAACCATTTCTTCCCACATGGAATTCTAAAGAAAAAAAAAAAGACTAGGTATATGTCTGTGTACGTGTGTGTAGTGATATGAATTTGCACTTTAGCAAGATAAAAGCAATTTGGAAGAAAAATAATGTGGGCTTTTTTCCCCTTTAAACAGTGAAGATTAAAATTAAGGTTGTCTACCTACAAAGTAAAACAGTTTTCTTGAGTTTTTTTCCAAATACATTACTGTTAAATGGATTCTCTGTGCTTCATATTAAGGATACCACCAATTAGACTCTGAAGAATAAATAGGCTAGCAAAGTCTTAGGAAACTTGGCAAGTGCCACAGTAGTTTAAAATCAACAAAACATTAATGTTTTAGTTAATGATTCTCTCATAAAAGGAGATGATAAAGGCTGCCAATATTCAGAAATGTATGTTTTCTCTCTTTGTTCTCCTTTATTTCTCCTTTTTTGCTCTGTATCTTTGGTAACTTATCTAATATATCTCATCATTAAAGGTATTTTGTAACATAATATATTTGGGGATTTCCTTTATGAATGTTGCCATAGGGATCTCAGTTATTTATATCTAAGGCTCAGGCTCTCATACTTTCAAGCCCCAGTTTATGAACAATGGATGTGAGCAATGTTTACAGATCTCCTTGTTTTTCAACTTGCTCTGCCATATCTTAACACAATGACAGATAGTTCTGCCCTGCCATTCAGATATGTTGATGATCATGGCATTAGTCTAAGGTAAACTCCTAGTACTGTATGGTCCACTGTATCACCAGATTAAACTCATTGGAACTGGTATATTATGAAATATTTCCTGGAAATAATATTAGGAAATGGATGGGCATGAATACTTTACATGGCTCAAGCCTCCTGACCTAGGCTCAAGAAAAATGTCATTAGGAAGCTAGAGCTTATTTTAATTAGGAGATGGGCAATCTAAGCACAGGTGGGTGGGAGAATGGTCATGAGCCCAGGAATGGGTAAGGAATGTCACTAGATCTCCTAAAAAACAGAATCAGATGACTAACCCTTTCTTAGCACCACAGTACTCTTTAGAACTAAAGGTGTCAGACATTTGGCACACAACTTTTAAAATGTTGACAACCTTTAACCCAAGGTTGTTTTCCCTCAAGCAAGCCTGTCTAACATCTTGGAATCCAATGGCTACTTAAAAAATGTGTTAATATATGGAACCCCAAAATATAAACAGCGATTATAGCTTATAGTTTTCAAGGGAAACAAATACCAAGGTCATTTCAATTCCATAGTTTGTCCAGATATTCCAATACTACATTGCAAAGAGATTCAGGTTTTTTCTGTCAATGACAGGATTGGTATTCTTGTCATGGGTTTTAAAACAATGTCAGTTTAAGGAACATCTGCTTCTGGGGAGGTGATGCAGTGTGGTTCTCCTTATATCTACCACTAAGTACAACTAAAAAACCATGGGTATTATATGAAACAAGGCTAAGAAAATTCTGATTGGTTGAGAGAAGACAGACAGCTTGTGTAAGGATCTTGAGACTTGAGGCACAACAGTGGTGAGTTCCCTAGATTTTCTTTTTGCCTTATATATCCTAGATTTGTTGCTGAAGAAGCCAGCAGTTCAGAGAGACCTACTGGTGCAGACAAAAAAGAAATTCGCTATTAGATTCCAGCTCTCTCTAATTGGGGGACAAGGAAAGGGGCAGCATAGTAAGTCAGAACACCTTTAGACAATAACTGCTCTATGCAAGCTAAGCACCATAGAAAAGAACTATAGCCCCACTACTATCCAGCTATGCTGGAACAAGGTGCCCAGAGGCCCCCAAAAGGATGGTGTCAGAACAGACTAGGTAGGGATCCTGGACTTTAACTCTTGTTAGAAATAGCAAGCCCCTCCCTGTAGCATCAATGGAGGCCACATGTCTAGCAGAACCTGGATTTCTACCCTCACTCAGCAGGAATGAGGAACCCCAACCACTCTCTGCAAGGATGGTGTCAGAGATGGCTTAGTGGGGAGTCAGGACTTTTATTACTGTTGAGTGATAACAAAGGCACCCCCCACTCCACTCTCCCACACACACTATGATGTCACATGGGCAGCAGTGATGAGGCTTTTCTACATGTCCCAGGCAGGGAGGGAGCATGGAAGGATGGGCAGCTGGAGCTCTCATTTCTCTGCACCGAGTAACAGCAAGGCGCTCCCTACCTTTGGGTGTCAATGGAAACTGAGTGAGAAATCCGGATTGTACTTCCACCTAGCAGTAGTTAGGTAAAACGGCCTTTCCCCCTACTGGAACAGTGTCAGAAGAAGGCAATTAAAACAAGATTTAAATAAGATTCATCATAATATAATACCTAAAATGTACATGTTACAATAAAACATTTTATTTTTATACTGAGAAAAAGGAAGATCTCAAAATGAATGAAAAGTATTGTTATCCCAGTGTTGCAATGACACAAATGTTAGAATTACCTTTAAGTAGCCATTATAACAAAAATCCTTCAAGGAGTGCTTACACACTTGAGAAAAGAAAATAGAAAGCCTTAGTAAAAAATAAAGGAGTCTAAGCAAGGAAATAAAATATGTAAAGAAGAACCAAATGAAAATTGTAGAACTGAAAAATACAACATCAGGCAAAAAAAAAAATAATGACTGGGTACAATAACAGAAAGAAAGAAATAAGAAAAATAATTAATAAATATGAAGCTCTAGCAATAGAAATTACCTAATTTAGACAAATTACCCAAGATAGAAATATAGACCAAGGGGTAGGGAAAAAAAAAAACAGTGGATCAGGGACCTGTGGGAGTATAATAAAATCTCTAACAATCCCAACTGTGGAACTCAGAAAGAAGATAGAAAGACAGAAGGGCTAAAAAATCCCACTCAAATGCATGGCTGAATGCCTTCCAGGTTTGGAGAAAAACCAAAGCCCACAGGTTCAAGAAACTGAGTGAAACCCAAACAGACTAAACCCACATCAGAGTCAAACTGCTAAACACTAAAGACAAGATCTTAAAAGCAGTGAGAGAGAAATAACAGCTTATCTATATAGGAAACATTTTTTCATAAGATTGGATTTGTCATCAGAAACTACTGAGGCCAGAAGGAACTGGCCCACTATTTTGTCAAGTGCTGAAAGAAAACAACTGTCAACCCAGAATCTTATGTCCAGCAAACATATATTTCAAGAATAAAAGAGATATCAAGACATTATAAGATGAAGAAAAAATAAGAGCATTTGTCACCATCACACACACTCTAAAAGAATAGCTAAAGGATATTCTTTAAATAGAGAGGAAATTATTTAAAAAGGTACCTAGGAAAATTAGGAAGGAAGGGAGAAAGAACAACAATAAAAAAAATGAGTGAATACACTTTCCTTCTCTTGCATTGTCTAAATTATGTTTGACAGATGCAAAAATAACACTGATATAGAGAGGAAATAATAATTAAGATGATTATATAATTAACAGAGAAAGGTAAAGGAACATAAACTACACTTCACTAAAATTGGTGAAATATCACTAAACTGGTAAGCTATGTGTATATAACATAATAAAGAAAACACAAATAAAAGCTATCCATAGAGTTTCATTCAAACACTAGATATATCAACATAGAATTACAAAAATCCTTCAAGAAACACAGAAATGCGGAGAAAAAAAGAAATAAAACCCAGAACAAACAGGAAAGAAAAGAATCATGCATTTGATCTCTAACACATCAAAAACTTTAAATTTAAATGTAAGTGGTAAATACATCAATTAAAAGACAGATTGACAGAGTTAATTTTAAAAATGACTGTCATATTTACTATCTACAAGAAACTCTCTTCAAGTGTATTAATATAGGGAGATTAAATATGGGAGAATGGAAAAAAGATACTCAAGCATTAATCAAAAGAAAGAAGGAATGGTTATCTTAATATCAGATAAAGTAGAATTCAGAGGAAAGAAAGTTATCATAGACAGAGAACATATATATTGATAAAATGGCCAATGCATGAGGAAGACATAACAACCTTCACTGTGTATACCAAACAATAGACCTGTAAAATATATTAAGTGAAAACTGATAGAACTGGGAGAAATAGGCAAATCCACAATTATAATTGGAAATACCAACACCCAATATTGAGCACCAATCATGTGCAGAGCATTCTGCTAGGTATTGTGAATGCACTAGTGAAAAATTAAAAGACAGTCCTGGCCCTCATGAAACTCATGGTCAATTGGGAAAGATAAATATTAATGAATTAAAAACTTATTTAACTTGCCAACATGATAAATACTGCATGATAAATGCTGCACAGGGAATCTAAAAAACACCAAAAGTTAAACCTCTAGTTCAAAATGCCCTATTTTAAGTATCAACAATAAGAAGACAAATACATAATTCCCAAACTATATAATTCAATAGATTCAGACATTCTATTGTTGCATTTCCCAGAGGTAATACAGAGAGTCAGTCACGTTAGTACCCTGCAGGCTGCATACCTTACCCACAGCTGCCACACAACTCACAGCCAGGAACGTGCAGGATTCCCTAGGTACTTCTAATGCGTTTGTTTCTCCCAATAACCCAATTCATGCTGACCCAGTCCCTGCATTTCCTCTCACTCTGCAATTTCGCCTGGGAGGCTGATGGGACCTCTGAAAAAGTACTACAAACACATTTTGAAGAGGTACCAAGGGTGGGATGGGTAAAGTAAGACTTACCCCAAAGGGTCACAAACTGTCAAGCTAAACAAGATGTTGACTTACCACAGTGTAAATCTGGTGTTTTCGTCTTTTAGCCAGGTCAATTATGTTTATTCCATTGTAGTAAAGATTTTCCATACATCCGTGGAAGTTTTTCTTTAAAAAGGTCCCAGGTTTGCCTGGTACTGGAATTCCTCCAAAACTAAGCTTCACGAGGAGGAAAAATAAATAAATAAATAAATAAAAACTTAGTTATAAGCTCTGAAGAAATAGGAACAGAAAGTAAGCAAGTGCATTTCAGTAGATTCAATTGTATGCATGAGCCAAGTGGTTCAAATAATTATAGATGCGACTTGATTACACATTTAAAAGGATACTGATTAGCCTGCATAAAAATAACTATAATTGATTGCTTTTTAAGAGTTTACAACACTTTTCACTTCCTTTCTGGACCTTTTTAATACTAAATAAAACAGCAGTTTAGAGAAGGAGGGGGGCGAAATAAAGAAAATCAACAGCTTGATATTTACCCCCCATGCAAGCCTCTGAGAGAATATGGCCAAACTAAAGCCAAGGGACCAACAAAATATACCTCCATTCAGCTACAGAGAGACCTAGTGCATCATACTCAAAAAGCCTATGTGCACAGTTGTTTCCAAATTATTATTCTATAAAAATGAACAAAATATGGGCCGGTCAAGTGGCGCGATGGTTAAGAGCTGGCTTGGAACGCCAGAGGACCCTGGTTCGGATCCCACATATGAGGGTCAGTGACACTGCCCTTTACAGCTAAGATGCTGAACAACAGCTCAACCTGGAGCTGGGCTGCCATGAGTTGCTGGGCCCTGCTGCAGTGGGTTGCCATGAGCTACCGTGTGTAGCCAGCAGCCACTGTGAGCAGCCATCCAGAAGCCAGCGACTGATCTGCCTCACACGGGAAGAGCGCAATGATGGTGCCAACTTGGGCCAGTGAAGCAACGTCCTCCACAACTAGACTGAAGAACAAAACGACAGCAACTTGTCTGTTCCCCTTCCCCCAATTCCCCAGTGCTGTTCCCATCCCCCAACTCCCCAATAAAAATCTTTAAAAAAAGAAAAAATAGAAAACAATCCAAATAGTCCATACAGTGTTTTAAAGGAAAAAAGAAGTAATATGATGCAATCTTATTTAGGTGTCAATAGTAGTATTAGACATTTGTGATAAAATGGGAGATATGAGTAAAGTTTATTGAGCAATGCAAGTCATAATTGGGTGTAAAGTATGATGTCAGCAGTGAGAAATTGTGCTTACAATATGACTGGAGGAAATAACACTGAAACTGTAAATGGTGGTTGTCTCTGGAATGGTTATGGGATACCAATTTTCTTTTCCAGTTTCCTTTCCAGTGAAAATTACTGCAAATTACTTTTGTAATGAAAATATTATTTGAAAACAAACCAGATCTCTTATGCATATTCTTCCTATTATAGGAGAAGCAAGTTAGTTTCTATAATTATGTTTCTCTGAACACCATTTGATGAGTAACCGAGTTTTTCTTCGCTGCTTTGAAATGATGCCTTCAGCATGTACTTAAACTATAATGGAATTATGGGTATGTTTTCAGGAGGATTTGTTCTCCCAATCAGGATGTCTTCTGCTTTGATCAATAGCTAACTGATATAAGGCTACTGCTAGAGATGTCTATTTTTTTCCCCATAAGTTCCACACTGATTAAAAAAAATGTTTTCGTAGACACAGTAATGTATAATAAGGATTATTATTCCTGCTGCCAACTTTTACTTACTATTGCTTTACTCTGTTAAAAGAATTGTTTGATATTTTGCCCATTATATTTCAAAGCTTAATTTCAGAATAATTTTATTTAAAATATATTTTTAAATTTTGATTGAGGATTTATTATTTCTATTAACACATTTATTTGGAGAAGAATGGATTTTTTGAACTATTTCATCTTCCTATACAAGGGCCCAGTGTATTTTTCTATTTTCAAAATACTTTTGGTAAGGCCACTTACCTGAGGTTAACAGTTTCTTTCCCTACTTCAGATATTTATCTTTAAATTAATTATTGTGAATTTCATGCTTTAAAAAATGTACATTGTAAATTAATTATTTTAATTAAATGAACATTTTAACATATAACTTAACTACCCATCTTGTTATTTCCTCAATCCAGACACTTATACATTAAATAATATACTTTTTATTTAATTTAATCGAACTTTTGAGGGAATAATCATATGATACCTTCAAAATACTTTACTCTGTTCTATACTCAATTTTTATAATTTTTTTATTGTTTCATTAACCTGGTCAAAGCTTTCTAAACTCTAGCCAAAACTTTTTAAGCAATATTAAATAATAATCATGGGATGTAACTTTAAAAAAAAGACTGTACTTTTAATATAGTTTCCAAGAACATATAATAAACATTATAACACCACATCACATTAATGAGGCATTCTTCAACTACCATTTTACATATAATTCATTTATTTGCTTATTTATTTGTTTGATTGAAATGGGAAATAAATGCTCAGTTTATCAACTGGCTTTTCAAAAATCCATGTGACAGAATACAGGGTATTTTATGTTTAATCTACTTATGGGTTGAATTATATTAATAGATAATATGTTATAGCTTACTTTTGATTGAATCACACTTTTATTCCATTTACCTTAAAATGTATGTGCTTATATTTTAAGTAGTAAACAAGTTTAAGATATTGTTTTCTTCTTTTTTTCAAGTATTTATATCAAGTCTAGATTTCTCTCTGAGAAAAACTAAGAGTTTTATCTTTGTCTCTATTTAAGAATAGCTCATATATCTTGGGAAACACTCTGCAAAAACCATCAATGAATCTGCTACCTCCACAAATATTTTGCAAAATATTTCTTCCATAACTTGCAAGATCTTTCCTGTTGATTCATTGCAGTAATCAAATATGTTCAATTTGAGTCATTTGAATTTCAAAAAAAATTAATTTCTCTCTTGTAAATTGCATAAATGAAATGTGTAATGTAAAAACATAATTAAATATTTGTAAATTTTACTTATTATTTGTTGGAAGACTATTTTTTTAGAGCAGTTTTCAGTTCATAGCAAAATTGAGATGAAGGTACAGAGGTTTCTTTTATCCCCTTTACCCTCACACATGCATAGCCCCCCTCACTGTTGACATCCTTCACAGGAGTGGTACATTTGTTAAAATTGGTGAACCTATATTGACACATCATAATTACCCAAAGTCCATAGTTTACCTTGTAGTTCACTCTTGATGCTGTACATTCAGTGGGTTTCAACAAATATATAATGCTATGTATCCACCATTACTGTATCATATAGAGTATTTTTATTGCACTAAAAATCCTCTGTGTTCTAGCTATTCATCCTTCCAGGCTGACCCCAGTCCCTGGCAACTACTGATCTTTTTATTGTCCCTATACATTTGCCTTTTCCAGAATGTCATACAGTTGCAATCATATAGTATGTGGCCTTGTTGTATTAGATTCTTCCATTTAATAATATGGATTTAAGTTCTTAAAGTCATGTCTTTTCATGGTTGGATAGCTTGTTTCCTCTTAGTGGTGAATAATTTTCTATTGTCTGGATGGACCACAGTTTATTTATTTGCTCACATACTAAAGGACATCTTCCTTGCTTTCAAGTTTTAGAAGCTATCAATAAAGCTGCTATAATCATCTGTGTGCATATTTTTGTTCTTCATTTTTATAATTTTAAATATATAATACTAATTTATTCTTTTCATTTTTATGATTGCCGGCTTCATCAATTTGTAAAAATGTTTTTAACATTCCACTTCTCACAGGTGTGATTTAGAAAAATATTTGTTACAGGGCAATATTTTTACAAGAGGGTAAGGGAAGAAACACTTCCTTTTCAATATCAAAAAAAAAGTGTTGGAAGGACTTGGATGGAGAGTTTTTTAAAGAAGTCAAATAGTACAGAGGATACTGAATATTACAAAATTACATCACATTGAGAACAAAAGCTCTTTCTAGTTTGGATAGAAGATATTTGGGGGAAATTGGTGGAGACTAGAGTAGAGTTAAAAAGTAGTATAGACCTTCTCTTTGGTTCTCTCTGGGAGATACTGGGTTGTCGGAAAAGTCATGACACATGTTTGTGACAGATGGCACTAGTTCATTTTTGGAAGTACTAGAGACATTCGTATCTATGTTATTGCTATGTCATTTGACAGCTTTTTGGTTGAGTTTTGGAGATTTTACAATTTTTAGATGGAAGAGCAAACTGCATTTTTGCCATATTTTATTGTTTTACTTCCATAAAGAGAAGAACATGCATCAAGCTTGTGAAAAGTTGCATCAAGTTTACAGTGACAATGATTCAAAAGAACATCAGTGCCAACGATGGTTCATGAAGTTTTGTGCTGGTGATTTTGATCTCAACAATGCTCCTCAGTCAGGGAGGCCCAACAAGGTTGATGATGACAAAATAAAGACATTAATCAAGTCAAACCCACGTTACATGACATCAGAGATTGCAGTAACATTGAACATCCATCATTCAAGCATTCACGACTACCTGAAGAAGCTGGGATACATAAGCAAGCTTGCTATTTGGGTTCTGCATGAACTCAAAGAAGTTCATTTGATGGCGGTTATAAACATCGCAATATGCTCATTAAACGTAAGGAAAACAGTCCTTTTTTTAACCAACTAATGACTGGTGATGATAAGTGGATTGTTTACAACAATGTGGTGTACAAACATTCTTGGTCCTGACGTGATGATTCGCCTCAAACAACATCGAAAGCAGATTCATCAGAGGAAGGTTATGCTCTCAGTGTGGTGGGATTTTAAAGGTGTTGTGTTTTTCGAGCTCCTACCAAGGAACCAAACAATCAATTTGAATGTGTACTGTTGGCATTTGGACAGTTTGAACGAATCCATCATCTAGAAATGTCCAGAGCTTGTTAATTGTAACAATTGACCACACACAAGTTTGATCACCCATCAAAAATTATTGGAGCTTGGATGGGATGTGTTGCCACACCCACCATACTCGCCTGACCTTGAGCTGTCAGACTTCCACTCATTTCACTCTCTTCAAAACTCCTTGCATGATACAACGTTCCATTCAGATGAGGCTATAAATCAGCACCCTTGTTCAGTTTTTTTGCAAAAGACAGGCCCTTCTATGAACGAGGAATTATGAAG